CCCCCGCCTCCACATCTGTTGCTGGTCATTCCCCACCATCAACTCATGCCTTCTTCACGCCCACCCCGCGCCCACACCCCCACCCCCCACCCCCAGGGCGTGCCCGTCGTCAACGCCCTGTCCAAGCAGCGCGCCATGCTCGAGAACTTCTGCCGCGCCTGCGTCGGCCTGCCGCCGGACAGCAACATGATGCTCGAGTTCAAGTGATGCGCGCAACCATCCTCTTTGGTGGCCTGCCCTTGCCCATGCAGCATCGCGCAGGGGCAAGTCAAGGCGAGGCGGACCCCACGCCTTGCATCGGGGCGTAGACATGTGGTGTTGGGTGCGAGCACTGAAAGAACAGTACCGCGTCGTGAGAGAGTCCTTGGCACCGGCACCAACTGCACGCGCCGCAGCCGTTTGCGGCGGCGCAAGAAAGTTGACACGTTGACTTGCTGCGATTTGCATGCGAGAGAGCGTGGCTTGCGGCCGCTCTGGAAAGGCGCATCACTCTCCTTGAAGACAACTGCAACCGCCCGCCGCCGCGGACAACCTCTGGGCCCGTGCTGAGAGGCTTGAACCTGGCGATGCACCCTGGACGGCCCTATCTGACTCAGCATAGGGGCTCCGGCGGCCGCCATGCAGGAGCCCTTTGAATCACGTTCTCTCGACATGGCAGCAGGTGCTGCACGCACAACGCTGCTGCTTGGGGTAGGGGTAGTGGCTTGCCCGCACCTGTATATGTTTCATGTTGTCCGCTTTTTGGTATCCGCCCGTTGACGCCCTGGCCCTTCTGTGGCTACCCCAATTGGTCTGTCTGCGGCAACGGCTTAAAACCCCTAGATACCGCCTATCAACCGCTGCTTGTGCTGAGGTGGCCTTTGCTTGTGATACGCGCCGCCGTGTAAATGGCCAATAACTTGGTGGATGCCGAGGTTGACCAGCAATCAGCAGGCGAGGGCTATGATTTCCTGGGCAGCTTCTGCACCTGGCCCAGCAAAGCGCCTGGGCAGCCACAACTGATTGATACCTGTGGATGCTGCTCACACGCGTGTTTGCGCCAAGATGGCACCTCCAAAGCTACCCAGTCGCACCTGCCTCAGACTGCCCCCCTCCCAAACTGTGCAAGGCTCTTGTATAGCGACATTGCCTGAGCGGAAACAATGTGCCATTACCAAGGTTGCGGTGGTGGCGCCGTGCGAAAAAAAAACAGCTGCTTGCTGACAGACCCACATTCAAAAGAAAGAGCCTGAGGGGCTTGAACGCTCGGGCGGCCCTGGAAGGAAGCCGCGTGCACCGCGTCTGCACAACAGGGACGCAGGCGCAACACGGCGCAAGCGGTCAATTGTGAAAATACACAAGGTGTAGAAGGGGCTAAGATGCTCACCCGCTCATTCCCTGATTTCGTCGCTGCGCGTTATCCACTGTGTCGAGAGCGCACGTGCTGAGCGTCGGCGCATTTCATAATTCAGGCCGCCAGCGTCCAACAGCTGCCCTGCATGGAGCCGCAGCAGCGCGCCACCGTCTGCCGCCTGGAGTTACACGCCCGCAACGCCACGTCCCTGTGCGCTGCTGTAGGCGACCGGCAGGCGCTGCAAGAATACTAGCCTGCCTACTGCGCGCCAACAAGGGCCTGGTGCGGCTGCTGCACGTTCATTTGCGGCTGCCCATAGCCCTTGGGGCGCCTGCGGAAGCACGCACATGTAGGACGAGCAAGGTTCAGGCAACAGTGCAGCTGCACCCGACAATTGCTGCAGTGCATGCAATCAACAGTCTAGCTTTCAGGCGCCAAGCAGAAGCGGCTGAGGGCGCCGCAAGGTTGACGGGTCACCGGCAGCATGCTGTCTGCTCGCGCCCGGCGCCCGCCCACCTGAACAGCATGATGTGCGGCTCGGGGCGGTGGACGGCGTAGTGCACCCAGCCTCGCGACTGCTGCACGCCCAGGGCCCTCCACTCGTTCTGCAAAGCATTCAACATGAACGAGAGTCAGCCGTGGACCCCTGCGGAGAATTTCCGCCAGATCGAGCACCAACGAAGCTCTAGGCGCACCTCTTCAAGCAGCCTGTTCTTTGGCAAATGGTTGGCTATCTCCGGGGGCAGCACCACGTGCCTGCAGGCGCGCGAAAACGGCGCGCAGGCATGGCCAAGTGAGTGGGAGTGGCCCACGCTTTACCAGGGCCCGTTCAGCGTCGCCCGCGATCGTGATACCATCAACAATTCATGTAGCGCCTTCTCAACAGCACGGCAGCGGCGCAGGCCTCGCCTGTACTCGTAGACATCGTCGTAATACTTCTCCGAGTACTGGATCGAGTGCTGCGCCATATCTGTTGTACCCTGGGTGCTGTCGGGTCCGGCTGAGTTGCTGCTGCCCGGGGACAAGGCCTCGGCAGTGCGCTGCAGCGATCTGGTGTGCTCGCAACAATGTCAGCTGGCTCCCCACCAGAGCAGGCGTGCGTATTAAGAATACGCTGGCAAGTATGCACATGGACAGTAGAGCCAAATTGCCCTCTATGATGCGGCACGTTCAAATTATGCAAACTGCAGCCTGCCACACTTCCGTTGATAAGTGGATACTTTATACTGTAGCACGAAGGTTGGCTGATATTCGAATGGCGCTCATAAATCGCGTGCACAGTGGGCTTGCTGCTCAAGGCCACAGCTTTGCGCCGAACTTGGCCTGATCAGCAGGACCGCCGCCTAGCGCACATACGTAGTCGTACGCACATACATTGTCATACGGAAGCACGCACATGCCCAGGCACGAGCGGGGGTTGCGCACGCGCACACACACAGACACACACACACACACACACACACACACACGCACACACACACACACACACACACACACACACACACACACACTTGCGCGCACACCCCGCGTGGTGTGTGCACACACATGTGAATACGTGTGACGGGGTGGCGCTGTTAAAGGGCACAGTCTTGTGCAGCTCCTGGTGCTGCTCCCACGCAGCAAGTCAGGCCCTGCCATGTGCTGCAGCGCCTCCATTGGGTGCAGCAATGCACGTTGTAAAAATACACTTACATAGTTGCACGGCAGCGCGAGACCTTGAGTAGGCCGAGCAAGCGCGAGCAAAAAGCGGTGTTTTGTAACAGCAATGGCAGGCCTGCTTTTCCTGCACTAACTCCTCAAAACGAATTCGAGGGGAGCAGCCGCTGCTGCACCAAGCGCATCTGCGGATCACATGCACGCCCGTCCAATTGGATCGGCGTGGCACACTCAGCAAGGCAGCAGTGCCCAGGCCCCGACGAGCGGCGCGACTGGACGCGTCGCGCTCTGCTCCCCCCCCCCCCGTTTGTACCCCTGCCAAGCTCAAACGTGCCCCAAGCGCTTTCCGCGTGCGAGGCGGCCGCTGGCGTGCGCCTCCCTCCTAAGCGCCCCCGCCTCCTCCTCGAGCCGCTCCCACACGCCGCTGTCGCCGACGCGCCAAGCCCAGTTGCCGGCAGCCAGCCCGGGCGTGTTCATGCGCGCGCTGTTGTCCAGCCGCATCACGTCCTGGCGGACGGGGGGTCGGTTGGGGTCGGTTGGAAGCGGTTGGGTACGGCAGTGGAGCGGGTCAATTGGCCCGGGCGGCTCGATTCAAGACGTGCCCAGCTAACAAGGTCGGGGCAAGCCTGCCGATCGCAGGTGAAGCAGGATGCCCTGCCCCGGCGCATCCCCAGCACCCGTTCTGCAAGGACCCGCTACATGGGAGCCCCGTGATCAGGCTGGCACACATGTAACGCGACCGGTTACGGCCCACCACGACCACCCCGGCATCAGCGCCCACCTGCATCATGACAATGGAGGTCTTGGCGACAGACTGGAAGGCAGCCCGGATGAAGTCCCAGGCGATGTCCGACCCGTCAGATTCCAGGTACTGCTGAATGTAGGCCTGAGGGGGGTGGTCGTGGGGGGGAGTGTAGCATGGGGTTGTTGAGCACGTGATGTGAAGAGAATGCACAGATACAGCACAGGAGCAGCAGGGTGGCAAGACTCAGGGCGAGCTGATTCGCATCCAAGAGGGAAGCCGGGCGTTGCACACATGCACGCTGGGTCTGTTGCTGGCAGCAGTGCTGCCGCCCTGGAGCCTGAGACCCCTCAAAATGCCGAGCGGCCGCGTCCCACGGAGGCTGGGCGCGCCTTGTCAGTGGCATTGGCGCTGCCCTTGAACCAGCCGACCGAAGTCTCGTTGTCGTGCGTGCCGGGGTAGCAGAAGCAGTTCTCGTAGTGCATGTGGGGGAGGTGCACGTTGTGGGGGCCGCCGCCCCAGGCAAACTGCAGCACCACCATGCCCGGCGCACCGATCGCCTCCCTGCGAAAATGCCAGTTAGCAGCACGTTCCGGCAGGCGCAGGGTCGGTGGGGCAGGCTCTGATGCCCTAAGGTTGCACGCATTGGTGGCCGACTGCTGTGGCTGCCTGGCGCTTCAGGTCGGTTGCCTTTGCTGCAGGCCGCTGTGCCCCTGCAAGCCCCCCAGCCCGCACTGCTCCCACGTCGAGCCGCAGCGAACCCAGGTCCTGGGCCATGGGAGGAGCCTGCTGCAGCAAACAAGACAAGGATACCGCCCTTGACACACAGGTGGATTGCCTCGGAGCGCGCGAGAGAACATACATACGCTCCCTCTTTCTCTCTCTCTCTCTCTCTCTCTCACACACACACACACACACACACACACACACACAAGCACGCGCGCACGCGGGCCCGTGCACCCCCCACCTGAGCGCCACCACGTCCTGGGTGATCACCCCCAGGTCCTCAGCCATGATGGGCACGCGCCCCAGACGCTGCGACAGCGCCACAAACAGCGCCAGCCCGGGGCCCTGGCGCCTGCACGGGGGCGGGTGGAATCGTCAGAGCCGCAGGGGCGCGGAGCAGGATACCAGGGGCGGGGGCGTGGGGGTGGCTCGAAGAAGGCTACGAGCCGCATGTGGCCAAGGGCAGCGCAAGGCTGAGCCTTGGGTTCTGCATGCTTGCATCCTGGGGGTTTAGGACGGGCAAGTACTCGCTGACTTTGCTATGGTTGACACGTGATGTGCACTTGGCCAACCCGCCCAGCCCTGTCGACGTTCACCCCTGCCCCTCCGCCCACCATGAGCCATTCATGGCAGTCTCCTCTGTGGCGTCCACAGACCAGTAGCCCGCAAACGCCCTGCGGGGGACGGGTAGCGGCGCTCGCTTTCGGCAGCCGGCCCAGGCGCGGTTGGGTGGCTCCCAGTGCAGCCGCGTGCGGCCCGCGCTGTTGGCCAGCCCGTCCCACCAGGATAAGTCGCGAACGCATCACGCCCATCTGAAAGCGTCCAAGCAGGAGGCGGCACAAGGCGCCCCCTTGAAACCGGCTGGCCCATGCAGCCCTGCCGGAAGGCCAGCGGGACCTACCCCTTGCCCACACACCCCAAAAACCCACTCATCGCGCCCTGGACTCTTGAATGCCATCCCCTACACCCCTTGCCCTCGCAACAACACCCTTGGTGCCCCCTCCTCCCACCGAGACACGCCCCCTACCGGCCCCACGTCTGCACATTCCTTGCCAAACAAAACCCCTGCCAAAATCCGGCACCCCCGCCCACCTGAAGTGGTCGATGCGCGTCTCATCGTACAGCGAGAAGGCCCGCGCCAGCCGCGACGCCCACCAGGCGTAGCCCTCCTCCTCGTGGGCCGGCCACCGGTAGAGCGGGCTGCCCCACAGCTGGCCCGTCGCGCTGAACGCGTCGGGGGGGACACCGCTGACCTGGATGGTGGCGCGCGGGGGGATGGCGGGCCGTTTGGGGGTGTGTGGCGGGTCAGGGAGGGAGGGCCCAGTCAGCAGGTGCAGCTGAAACCATAGCGCAGCAGCACTTGAAGCTATGCACCCGTCCGCCTTGCCCGGCGCCAGCCCCCCCTTACGCCCGCGCCCATCCGCCGCGCCTGGTGCCCCCCGCCTACCCGCAACACGATAAGCCGCACGCCCGCGATTGCTGCGGCTAGGATGCACCCACGCTCACTGCTCCCACCCCCTCTCGCGCTCCCAAGCGTCCACGCGTGCATCCTGCATGTGACACCCCTGCTTAAGTCGGCGCCCACATCCCTGCCAGCTTCGCCGCCAAGGACCGGGCTTCCCCCTTTCATCCCAGCCCCTACTCCACAGCCACCCCA